TGTGACCAAACCTAACTACTATAAAAGTTATTCTTTTTTTCTTCAACAAAATCAATCCTTCGTTCATTTTCCTCTTTCTTAGTGGTGAAAGCAAGCATACAAGCGAGTAACTTCGCTTTTGCATACAAGCAGCCCCTTTTACAAATCATATGGAGCTGTTTTCTGTGAGATAAACTCAATCCCAGCATTATTGCGACACCCTACAGTTTTTTTCCAATTTCCAAGTATAATATGCGAATGTTAATATTTTATCTGATAGTAATCTTCTCTCTTACAAACAAAGTCGTTTTTTTGAAAATTAGGGAATATCAACACGATTTCACGTGAAAACTATTTCGCTGATGTTTGATTTCAGTGCTTGGTCGTGCCCAGTATAGCCATTCGCATGGATTATGGTTTGGAGGCAAAATCAGAAGAGAGTGCTTTTATAATCGAGATATATGGTGCTTGCCTACTTTCCTTTGGTATACTGTTTAGGCGAGTGGTCGTTTGCTCATTAGAGACTGAATTGGAGCTTTTGATTTTTTACATTCTTTTCGAACATCCCATTTGTTTATACTTGTAATAGATAGATATATATTTTTAAAATTCTATTGCTAAATGTATTTACCATTGATAGTATTCATCAGTTTTCTATCTTTCCTATTCTAGCAATCTTCAAGTGAATCCGTTCAGGAGCATTCTTCTGCAACGAGACAACAGGGCAGAAATTGCTACGCTACTGGTAGTTACCGCGTTACTACAAGCATTTCAGTTATCAGGTGCAACATAAAATTTTCCTAGTTTTTCTTTTTTTCCTAGGTTGAAATATTTATTTTCAGTTATCTTATTATCTGGTCATCGTCGTATGGCTCCATGTGCACTTCGCATAATCGCAATCGTAGGAAATCTCATCTACCATACCTTCGTCGACGGCCAAGGTGATCGGATACGGTCTTTGTTTTCATCAACATTTTATAATCGTAGCGATGCCAAGAAATTCATGTTCTATTGATAAGTATTTCATTACGGCTGCTAGGTTAGATAGAACTATAACCATTTGCTTCAGCTACATAAGGTTGAATACTCAGGCGGATTT